CAGACCCTCTCCTTGTACCTGGAGGAGAGTCCCACTGCACTGAGCGCACGGTTCATGGTCCCTTTGTGTCTGGGGAGGCCGTGCTATCTCTAGGTCAGGTGAGCAGAGAAACCGTGCACCCCACTCTTCCTCTCCCATCTGGCTGAGGACAAATTCCTGCCTTGTTCTCTGACCTTTACTTTCCTCTCCCGTCCTCCTGGCCCAGTTTTCCTCCTGTTGCTGGGGTGCTCCCCTCTCTTTACACCTGACTTCTCAGCGGCTCCCTTCGCGAGATCCCTGAGGACCTCGGTAATGCTGACAACCTTTGTAATGCCACAGGCAATTCACTCACGTCTTAAGTGCCCCGCCTTCATTGCTCCGGCCTTCTCCTCCGCAGATCTCGTTGGAGCACAGTGTGCTGAGCAGCAAGCAAAAGACATTTACTGCAAATCTCCGCATGGAAGGGACCTTAATGGTCATTTAACTGGACCACCCCTTCTAACATTGAATTGCCCAGAGAAGAGCTTCCCGAAGTGTGGACTTGGAACACTCGATTGCTGAGATGTGCCTTCTCCAATGGCAAATTCCCAAATGCAGAGGATTGTGTGGCCGGATGAGTCTGTGTGCTCTGTTTCCCTCTTGTAAGTCTCGGACACATGACCATATGGAAGGCTCTGGAAAGTTCCACACTAAAGAAACCTGTTTACTTTGACTAGGACTCCATGTAACAGACACTGTCCCTCCCAGACTGTTTGTAAGAGCTCTCTTTACTTTTTAGGTCTAGTTCTAGTCAGCTGTTTTGCCAGAAAGTGCTTCGTTGCATTTAGCTAAAGCCCTCCTGTCATTACCATGCAGAGCCCGGTTCTGGCCAGGTTCTGGCCATCCTCTGAGGCCCTCAGGCAACATCAGAAGACAGCTCTTTGCTTCCCTGCTTCCTTCTCCCCCTGTCCTTGCCTAGGGTATTCAGTCCGTTCACCTTCTTGGCCGCCTCCACTGACCAGGCCCATGACCTCCCTGAAGTGTGGGGTCTGTACGGAGTGGAGCAGACAGACATGGGGTGGGTAGGGCTGCAGCCCCCTGTATTTGGGGATTTTCATTCTTGCCATCATGATTCCACCCCACCAGTATTTTGGCAACCCCCTTGACTCACTGTAGCACCCCCAAACTCCAAAGGTGTGATCATGGTACAGCTGAACTCTATTCGCTCAAAACCTGTGCTTGAAAAGTTGGTTTGGGGGTCTTAGTTTCAGGACTTTGCATTTTTTTTATTGTGACAAGATATATATAACAAAATTTATCATTTTTAAGTGTACGGTCCAGTGGCATTAAGTATATTCACATTGTTGTGTAACCATGACCATCGTCCAGCTCCAGAACTTTTTCATCCTCCTGAACTAAAACTCTGTCCTCATTAAACACTAACTCCCCATTTCCCCCCTCTCATCCCCTGGCAACTACCACTCTACTTCTGTCTCTATAAATTTGACTACTCTAGGGACCTCACATCAGTGAAATCATACAATTTGTGTTCTTTTATCACTGGCTTATTTCACTTAGCCTAATGTCTTCAAGGTTCATCCATGTTGTAGCACGTGTTAGACTTCTTTCCTTTTTAATATCCCTCTGTATGTATATACCACATTTGGTTTATCCGTTTGTTCGTTAATGGAATTTGGGTTGTTTCCACCTTTTGGCTGTTGTGAATAACGCTGCTGTAAACACTGGTGTACAAACACGTGTCCGAGTCCCTGCTTTCAGTTCTTTTGGGTATAAACCTAAAAGCAGACCTGTTGGATCATGTGGTAGTTCTGTATTTAGCACCTGCATTCTTCTTTGCTATATTTTATCCCTGAACACCACACCAGCTCGCTGGGATCTCTTGGGCCTAGATTCCACCCCAACTTTGTGGCACCACCAAATTTGATAGCACCATTTCTGAGTGGCTTTTACAGCCAATCCTCCTATTGTGTGGGCACTGACACCTGTTTATCTCCCCCCCAAGACCCTGTTTGAGGGGGCTTTGATCACCCTAAGCAGCAGCATCAGGTCAGCCATGGGCTTCTGTTGGACCAAGTTGATGACTGTGTTTCAAAAGTAAGTGAGCATATGACCCAGCAATTCCACTCTTGGGTCTATACCCAAGAATCATATGTTGACACTAAAACTTGTCTATGAATATTCAAAACAGTGTTATTCATAATAGCCAAAAAGTGGAAACAAGTCAAATGTGCATCACTTGATGAGTGGATAAGCAGTCATAAGGTGAATAAACAAAATATGGTATATTTATATGGTAGTTTTTGGGGGGTTTTTTTGCAGATGTCCAGTTCTGGGATCCAAACCCACGACCTTGGTGTTTGTAGTAGAATATTATTTGCTAATAAAAAGGAACAGAAGAGGGCTGGCCAGTTAGCTCGGTTGGTTAGAGTACTGCCTCGTAACCCCAAGGTCAAGGGTTCGGATCCTCGTACCATATAGCCACCAAAAAAAAAAAAAAAAACCCACAAAGGAATTGTACTGGTTGGGACATGCTACAAATGAGTGAATCTTGAAAATATGATGCTAAATGAAAGAAGCCAGACAGAAAATGCCCTATATTGTATGATTCCATTTTTATGGAACGTCCAGAAGAGGCAAATCCATAGAGGTGGCAAGACTAATATTTGCTAGGGGTCCCGGGGATGGAGAGTGACTGCTAACAGGGGTGGATTTCTTTCTGGGGTGATGAAAATGTTCTGGAATTAGATAGTGCTGATGATTGTACAACCTTGTGAATATACCAAAAACCACTGAACTGTACAATTTCAGGGAGTAAATTTTAAGGTATGTAAATTGTATCTCAATAAAGCTGTTATTTTTTGAAAAAGTAAAACAAACAAAAAAAACCAGGTATGCAAGGCCCATCACCGAGTCATTTTTAGCAAACCCATGGAAACCATTGGTTCCTTTTTAAAAGTGCTCACAAACCATGCTTTGGGAATACTGGATTGTGGGCTGGTCCATCTGTGACTCATATACTCTGCCCACTTTCTGGAAACTCAGGAATGCCTTACCCCTTTCCAGGCCTGGGACACCTGGCTCGCCCACTAAGGTTTGTCAGAGCTTGTCCGGGATCTCGTTTGTGTCCTTTAGCACATGCAGTGCCCAGCGGGAGCACAGGGCTGCTTGAGTAAAGATGACTCTGCACAGGCACGTGGCGAACGCAGGGTCCCAGAGCGGGACAGACAGTGGGTGCTACTGCAGAGCTAAGGAGCAGCCGGCAGCTCCCTGGGCTCTGGTACAGGAAGGCTTCAGGCAAGCAGGAGGGCCATGCTGGGTGTGGGAGGATCACACAAGTGGCTTCTGTGGCTGTGGTGGCGTGTGAAGGGGATTCCTTGGCCTCCTCTCCAGCCTGATCTTGTGGGCCTTAAATACCAGCAGCCCCCAGTGTTAGATTTCTAGTCGCCCACCAGCTACATTTCTTAGTGGGGGGTTGGGGGTTGTGGTTGTTCCCAACAATGGGTGTTTTTGTTATTGGGGTGGGGGTGGGAAGATGGATAGTGAGGAAGCCTGATTTATATGCTTTTTTCATCATTTTTTTTTTTTTTTGTGACCAGCCGCACCGCGCTCAGCCAGTGAGCGCACCGGCCATCCCTATATAGGATCCGAACCCGCGGCGGGAGCGCTTCTGCGCTCCCAGCGCCGCACTCTCCCAAGTGCGCCACGGGCTCGGCCCCATCAATTTTTTAAAATATTAAAAACACAGAATTTACCATTATAACCATTTAAGAGTACAGTTCAGTAGCACTAAGTACATGGACATTTTTGTGCCACCATCATCAGCATCCACCTCCCGAACCCTTTCCTCATCCCAAACTGAACCTGTACCCATTAAACAATCAGTCCACATTTACCCCTTCCGTGATCCCTGGTAACCCCCATCTGCTTTCTGTCTCTGAATTAGACGACTCCAGGTGCCTCATGTATGCGGAATCATACGGTGTTTGTCCTTTCGTGATGGGCTTATATCACTTTGTGTAATGTCCTCAAGGCTCACCCATGTTGTAACATGTGTCAGAATTTCCCTCCTCTTCATTTCTGAATAATATTCCATTGTAAAAACATGCCATGTTCCTCTGTGTGGATATTTCCCATCTCGATCATCCGTTTATCTGTCCATGAACATTTGGGTCATTTCCACCTCTGGCTGTTGTGAACAGATTTGTTTTTAAGATAAGGTGTTCATGCCTCAGCAACAGGGGTCTCTGAATACTGGAAAATAGGAAGGACCTGAAGGGACGAGGCCAGGGAGTCTGCGAGATAACCCTGCGATGGCCGAGTGTGTGGAAAAGAGGACAGGGTGGCAGGGGATGGCAGGGGGTGGCCGGGATAAAGCAGAGGACAGAGGCTGGAGATGGCTGGCCCGGGTAGAAGGGGACGGGGCTGGACCCTCCACCCAGAAAGGCTGGGTTTGTTTCCAGACAGGGGGCTGTGGCTAGCGGGACAGCCAGCAGAGGACAAGCTGGAGCCCTCTCGGTCACAGGGGAGCACGAGCAGAGCCGGGACCAGCCCGACTGGTGGCGCGGGGTGGAGGCAGCTCCCACGGATGCGGGCAGGAGGAGGGTGGGAGGGCTGTGGCAGCGGGTGTGGCAGAGGCACGGATGGTGACCAAGACGCGGCTCCTGGAGGTGGCAGTGCGTTCCTGGGAACGTGCTGGGTGTGTGAGGGCGTGTGCCTGCGACTCCTCCAGCGTCCCGCATTAGGAGGTGCTCAGGCGACATTTGTTAACCGAAACTGAGGGAAATACAGGCAAACAAGGCACGTTTTGCATCCTGGAGAAACTCGGCCTCACACATGAGATAAAAGACATGAAAGCCAATGTGTAGCACACGGTCCACTTGGAGTCATTCAAAGCCCAGAGGCATTGCGAGGAGAGAGGGGTGTTTGAGTCACTTTTCAATAAACGAAGCCAAAGGAATCACACATTTGGGAGACTAGCAAGTGTCCTTTGGATCTGGCCATGACTCCCTTTGACCCTGCAGGTATGACGCCGGACGGGACGGCTTCATCGACCTGATGGAGCTGAAGCTGATGATGGAGAAGCTGGGGGCCCCCCAGACCCACCTGGGCCTGAAGAGCATGATCAGGGAGGTGGACGAGGACTTGGACGGCAAGCTCAGCTTCCGGGAGGTACCTGCACCCTGCTGGTCCCGGGCCCTGGGGTGTGCCCCTGAGCGGACCCTCAAGTTTACAGTCCCCTGGAGTACAAATGGGTTTGGATATTTAATATACAGTTCTGCTTTTAAAAATAACTTTAAGGAGGTAGCAAACCTCAGTGCTGGGCTGGGAATACTCAGGAAGCAGATTGAAAATCAGTGTGGATAGTATAACCTCATTTGGGTAAAATGGTAAGAAATCTGGGAGGATGTTCACCAAAATATTCATAGTGGATCTTTATGGGTGCAAAATTTTGGTCATTTTATAATATACTTTTTTATATATTAAAACTTTTTATTTTTACAGAAAGCATTTAAAAATAGTAAAACGGTTAAACAAGGGGTCTTACTCTGTGCCCATGAAGCCTCCCCAAATAGTCTAAGAATGTGCTTCTTGGTCTTTGAACCTCTGAAATTTGCAGGTAAAGTTTTGTATGTATAGGTACCTTCCTGGGAACAGGACACATAGCATTCACAGCCTGGTCCCCAAAGGGCAGAGAACCTCGGTGATAAAGCCATTTCTATTTTGGGGGAAATGTCTTAAGACCATCAGGTTTCTGCCATGGCAAGTATACCGCTCCACAAGGAATGGAGTTTCATATCTTATGTGTTTTTTTGTGAGTTTTATTGGAAGGCCTCTGGGTGTGTCCGCTTTAACTGGTGTTACAACTTTGGTGACAATGTCCAGTCTAAAAGCTCAAAGCATTAGGCTAGCTCCTGCAGTCTCATTCTCCATTGTATCTCAGCTGGGACCCTTGGGAGCGGGGAGTAGAGGACTGTCCCTGCTTCCTGGTGTTTAACTTCAGTTATTCCAGGAATAGTGGAGCTATGGTGTCCTGGTTTCTGATTGCGAGACCTTTGGTCAAGTCCTGGTCTGTCCAGGCTGTATGCTCTTCCTGGGGGTCTGCAGCTGTGACACACTGGACTTGCCTCTTGCTGCTCACAAATCAGCTCCAGAATTTCCCATCTCTTCCTTTCCTGAACCTGCAGATGTGGAGATGGGAGATCACAGTGTTGGGTACAACTCTCAGGCTAATCTTGTCCAGCTTCCTCCTTCCAGGCCAAAAGGTCTGGGCATGCCTGAAATCAGGCCCCGCAGGCTGAGCATGAGCTGCAGCCCCCCAGCCCCAATCATCACCACCACACTTGTCTTCACAGCTGCACCTTTGGTCCCTTGGTATCATTTGTGCATCCTGCTGGGCATTGGCTTTTTCCAAGTCGGGTACCCCTGGGGTGTAGAAGGCAGAAGCTTTTGCTTTGGTGAAGCTTTGGAGGAAATGTTGGGGAAAGAGTTTCTGTGGCATAGTTGCAACCTCTGGGAACAGGTATTGAATCACCAACTGAACCAAGACACAATCCTCGTCTGCCCTGTTGTACTCAGGGACCCCTCAAAGCTGCTCCTCCCTGAATCCAAGATGCACAGTAAAGCTTTTTATTTTTAAATAAAAGATGACCGGTAAGGGGATCTTAACCCGTGGCCTTGGTGTTATCAGCACCACAATCTCCCAATTGAGCCATAGGCCGGCCCATGCAGTTAGCTTTTCACTAGCAGCTAATTTGGCCATTTTCCACATGGGGTGGACACCCAAGGCTTGGAAATCTTCAAAGAGTTCCTGTTGGAGGCTCTCAAACTCCTTACAAAGCTTCAGTGACATTCACATTCAATCCTTTGTCACCTCCAAGCCCCACAGCGTTCCACCTCCAGCAATTGTACCTGCTGTGCAGGATTTGGGAGTGTAAGGACACGTTTGCCATTCATACCTCACAGCCCAGCCTCCTGGCTCATTAATAGTTCACTCTGCTGGCTTCCGCCTCTGTTGGAAATGGGACGATGCTGCATTTACATAGTGAGAAGAGCGCGGGTCTGCCATACAGAGCTGTGTCACTGGAACAAGTCCTTTTCCTTCTGAGCCTCCGTTTTCTGCCTTTAAAACAGAGGTGTTAGCTCTCCCTTGGGACTGTTTGTGAGAACTGAGTTCTCCTTCTGTGTCATCTACAAGCCAAGAAGAGAGCACGTATCAGAAACCTTGATCATGGGCTTCCTGCCTATCGCATTGTGTTATAGCTGCCCAAGCACACCAACACAGGGGTCCCCAGCAGCCCTGGCTGTGCTGGGTGCAGGCCCGCCCCAGTGGTTGTGGTTGATGGGACCACGGATGGACTCCAGCCACACTAGGCCAATGGAATTCTCTCTCCTGGGATTTTGAAATTGGGGCTGAAGTGCTGCGAATGGCATCTGCAGGTGGCTGTTCCTGGAAGAATCACTCAGTGTGGGGTGGCCATTTTCTGCCATGTTGACCAGACATGAGAGATGGAGGGGATGTTGCCTCCGACCCTAAGAGCTTTGGCCCTCTGGGGTCCAGTTCTCCCCAGGCCACTGCATCTTACCCTGTACAGTGTAAGGTTTTTGAGACATTCTTTTTATGTAATGTATACCTACTTTTTGCTTAAGCCAACAAGTTTGTTTCTGTCCCTTGCAATCTAGGAGCTCTAACTAATAGAGGGGAAGTGTTTGCATCCCCAGACAGAGCCATAAAGTTAAAAATTCCCTAAAAGTATTAGAAGCCCCAACTGCTTGTGTCAGAGAAAGATTTTTTGCTTGATTAGTTCTCTCTCTGTCTCTTTGTTTTCCACCTCTCCTTCCCTCCCTCTCTGTCCTCAGAGCCACAGCTAGGACATTTTCCAATTCTTCTACAACATGCCCCTCTTTGTGGACTATAAATAGGAAGGCAAACAAGGCTGGGCAGTTGGAGAAATTGTCATTCGGGGGCAGTTAGTGATTGTAATAAAATTAAATGGGAATGTTTGGCATGCTTTATGGAAGGCTGCACATCTTCAGGTTAAGCTGGATTTTTTTTCCTTTCTTTAACTGGCTGGGGCTGGGGGGACGCCTAAATTAGGGCTGGGCTGCTGTTGATAACCTGCTGAACTGGCAGGGTGAGGAGCAGAGCAGCCTAGATCTGCCCCAGACCTGAGGGTTCAAAGGAAACAGTTCAGGGGGAAAGACCCGTGGGAAGTACGTTAATGATTCCAGTTCACAAAGCCCTTCTGTACACATGAACGCCATCACCTCCACTTTAGATGTGAGAAACCCAAGTCTCAGGGATAAAGACAGTCCCCCGAGGTCAACTGGGTTGTTGCAGAGCTTGGGGTGGGGCTCCCTCTTTTCTGAGCTGCCTCCCTGACTCATGAGAGTGGCTAGTATGGAGGGGCCACCAGTCCTGTGCTTGCCTTGCAGAGCAGTGAGGTTGGGGGCCTTCCGTAAAGCAGTCGCTTGAAGGACTGGTAGGGTGTGACTCACATCTGCAGCGCTGAAGTCTGCTGCTTCAGTCTCTCCCAGGAGAGTTCAGCCACCACTGTCCCCCCCACCCCCCTTGGCCTTGATCCTGTTCTTGGGGGCCTGGCCTCCTCTAACAGGCTTGTTTCCTTTCGAGCCAGTGTTTTGGCTCTGATCATCTGCAGCAAACCGAGTCTTTGCCGGCCTCTAGTGAGAGAGTTGGAAGCTGCAAGTGGATGAACATGGTATTTCCGTCTATCCAGACTGACCTCATCAGCCTCAGTGGAGCTATGAGTCCTTAAGCATCTTGCTTCATCCCTTAGTTTGTATTTGGCAGTGTCCACAGTGCGGTTAGGACACCTGAAGCAAGAATACAATGAAGGTTTATTAGTAAGGCATTTTTGGATTGTGGTGATGGTTGAGACTCTATCTTGAATGGAACACACTTCACTCTAGGGATTAAGAGCCTTGGCAGTAAAAGATACTTGAGTTGGAATTTGGGAAGCCTGTCAAAGTTGTTAGCCTCTCACTCTACTTTAGGTAATGTGTTTTCCCCATTGGGGAAAGTGGTTTTCTAGGGAAGATGATCATGAAAAAAGATTGGAACCTGAAATTTCCCTGTAGGTACACACATTTCAGGTAACACCTGAAAACCCAGAGAAACCCTCTTTCGATCGTGACTTGGGATATATCAGTTTATATTCTTTCCAAATGGAAAAATAAACTATGGAAGTTGAAATAGCAGTTGTTTGACAAGTAAATTCATAAAAATTATTTAAAGAAGAAAACTAAGGGCCGGCCCGTGGCTCACTTGGGAGAGCGTGGTGCTGACAACACCAAGTCCAGGGTCCAGATCCCCTTACTGGTCATCTTTAAAAAAAAAAAAAAAAAAAAAATTTATTTTGTAACGGCCTTAATGCAAGTTGCCTTCAAAGATTAATTCATTCAGGTCACATTTGGAATCTAGGGGAAGAAGATGGATTATTCAATAAATGATGCGGGGATTACTAACTAGCCATTTGGAAGAAAGTAGGATTAATAATTAACCTCACATGATAGATCGGAATAAATTTCAGAGATTAAATATTTACGTTTTTTTAAAAAAAGAAGCCATAAAAGTAGTAGACAAAAAATAGGCAATTGTTTGTGTAACCTTGGTGGTGAGAAAGGTTTTCCTAAGCAAAACACTGGTGAGAGAAATGAAGATTGACAGAATTTATGTAAAATTTTTGAAAGTCAAAGATTACTTTCAGGCTGGCCAGTTAGCTTCAGCTGGTTAGAGTGCGGCCTTATAACAAAGTCATGGGTTCAAATCCACATATTGGCCAGCCATTAAAAAAAACCAAACAAGGGCCGGCCCGGTGGCGCACTGAGGGTTGCGATCCATTGCCGGTCACGAAAAAAGACAAAAAGGAAAAAAAAAAAAAACCAAACAAACCATAAACACAGTTAAAAGGCAAGTGACAGAACTAAAGTATTTGAAATGTTCTACATCCTATGACGATCTCTTAGCAAATGGTAAGAAAGGTAATCTAATGCAAAAATGGGACATACGAGAAAAATGTAAGTGGCTAAAAAACATTGAAAATATTAAATATTTAGTTTAAAAAATAGTATTTGCAGGTGTATTTGATTTTTCTTTCATGGCTGTAAACTAGGATAACATTTAAACTCTCTGTGAATGTTTCTGAAGGATAGATTCCTAGCAGTGGAGTTAACGGTTGGAAGGGCGAAAGACGTTTTATTTTTGGTAACTATTTCCAAAGTGCCCCAAACACTTGACACTCCCACCCCCTACAGATGAGGGTACATCCTTGTGAAACATGGGCATGTTTTTATTTCTGACAATCTGATAAGGGAAAAAACAATTCGTCATGCACAGCACACACAAACGCTCTTTTTGGCAAGAATGTCTTTCGCTTGGGCCAGAGAAGATTCTCGTGAATCTCTAAGTGAGGTAGACGCGACTCCAATCCCCTTTGCCTGCCTTCTTTCTCCTGCAGTTCCTGCTCATCTTCCACAAGGCCGCGGCTGGGGAACTGCAGGAGGACAGTGCGCTGATGGCGCTGGCCAAGCTCTCTGAGATCGACGTTGCCGTGGAGGGTGTCAAAGGTGCCAAGGACTTCTTTGAAGCCAAGGTAGGTGCCTTGTTCCTTCTGTGCTGAACCACTGCTCCTTCTCTTTACCCTTCCCGATAGGAGCACCCTCGTCCCGTGACTATCCCATTAGCTCACTCAGGACAAGTGGAACAGCTGCAGCTTAAGTCTGCACATCATGTGTGGTTGCAGGGAAATGAGAGTGTGCCCGCGTGCCATCAGAAAATTAAACACCAGTGAGAAAAACAACCAAATACTTTCGATCCTGGTTTCAGATTTAAATGGATTTGCTGGTACAGTTTTCCAAGATGGACCCTTGATCTGGACTTTGCTAAGGAATTTCTTTCTACCCCAAACCACAGCTGAATTGCTTCAACAGCTACTACCTCCACCATTGCATCTTAAGCACTGTGTTGCAAACTAGTGGTTAATGGTGTCAGACGAGGTGGGGACAGGCAGCTTGCCTTGAATGGGTGTTTGCTCCATTGAGAGTTGGGAGTTGGGAAGGAGTCTCTAGCACATGGTCCCAGAGCCCTTCTGGGTGCTCCGATTCATTCATGTGTTCATGTAGTCATTGAACATTGATAGTCTGCCCACAGCGAGGGGCTGTCGTTTTCATCTCCACAGAGCTCACCTTTAGAAACAGAGACCAGGAGAGTCAGAATCCCCTGCTGGCTGGAGCAGTGGGGTGCAGTGGTAAGAGCACAATCTCTGCAGCCAGGCTGCCTGAGTTCAGACCCTGCCTCCTCCACTTATTTACCCTGCTACCCCTCTGAGCCTCAGTTTCTTCAAATGTACAAACAGGAGACAATAGGATTGTCTTGAGGATTAAATGAGTGCACATACATAAAGTGTTCAGCAAGTGCCTGGCTCACTGGGAGTGCTCAGAACCTAGTATGAGCTGTTGGGACTCTACCACTCCAGGTAGAACCAGTCTCTTGTGGAGTTTTAGCTCATTCTGGGAGTTTGCCCAGAGCAAAGTGTCCTTGGTGGCATATGCCCAGCCTTCTCAGATCCCAAGGCAGGACTCTATTTTCACTTCTCGGTGATGCTGCTTGGAGACAGATTCCATCATCTTTCTGTCGCCGCAAGCCTGAATTTCTGATACTGTCATCTGACAGTGACAGGGACAGGCCAACCACCATTGCACCTTGAACTCCGGCATCATGTGCCCAATCCTGAAAGTGGTTTGACCCTTCCTTCCTGATGTATCTTGATTCAACCCGTCTCCAGCTGTGATACAGCTCCTTTACAAGGGTGAAGTGGACAGAACTGGGCGCACACACAGTCGGTGAGGAAAGCAAACCCCACGTTGATAGAGAGAGGAGGAAGGGTTAGTTCTGGTGGGATGGGTGTTCTCCATTCATCGATTGAGTCAACATTTGTGGATCTCTTGTGATGCCTTTAGGAAGGTCCTAGGACTGAGACCCAAGGTTAGCAGGACACTTTCCAGTTCACGGTAGTGCAATGTGATAGGTGGTACAGCTGAAGTATGTGTGAGCCTCTGGGAATGTCTTATCTGGGCATTCAAGACTGGTTGTAACATGACTCTGATCCCTGCTCCGGCTTCATCCACCCCCTTCCAATGCTTCCACGCCTTTTCCCAATGGACCTCAGTACCTGCTGTTCCCTCTGCCTGACAGCCCCACCCAAATGCCTGCAAAACTCTACTCCTTCTTGGAGACCCATAGCAAAGAGTTGCTTCCTCAGGCCAGCAAAGTCCATCCTCCTCTGAGTGCCTCTATTACACATGGAAGTGATATTATAATTTATCTGTTCCAGGCACTCTTGGACACTTTCGGTAAAGGTATAAATTGACCCAGCTTTTTGTAGAGCAGTTTGGGACTAACTGTAAACATTCTGTGTCCTTTACCCCTGCAATTCTGCCTCCATAGGCACTCAAGCAAATGTACAAAGATGTATAGACAAGGATTTTCCTACAGAATGTTTGGTAATAGAGAAAAATTGGAAACAACCAAAACTTCCATAGTCAGGGAGTCGAGTCCATTGTGGTGCATCGACACACTTGCATGCTCTGCAGCTATCAAAGAACGGTGTGCAGCTGTTTGTGTGCAAAACAATATGCTTGAAGCCCAGTTTTGTTAAATATTAAATATAACCTGGATAATTATATGCCTAAGTATTAGTAACAGGTCTGAGGGACGTATTTTAATTTCTGTAATGGTTTAGAATGAGTGTGCATTATTTTTATAACCAGAAGGATAAATGAAAAGAATAACACTAAAATTTTTTTCAACTTGTTATGTTTATATATCGCCTCCTCACCCAGACTCAAAGGCAGAGTAGGTGTGTTATCTTTGTAATTACAGTGCGTGGCTTGTGAGTTTATTGAGTTTATGGCCCTCAATAAACGTTTGCATGAATGACGAATGGAGAGCATCATCGCTAGAGTTTGGGAGAGGGCCATAAAGGAGCTGACGTTTGTGACAGATGTTCAGAGATGAATGGGGATTCACCTTATAATCAGGGAAGGGAAGGCGTTCCTATCGTGGGAACGGCAAGAGTAAGGCTCCGAGGCATGGGGGCTGGTGAGGTGTCCTGATGTGGTGAGCACACAGGACGTGTGAGGGAGCAGGCCTGGTGGCGTAGCTGGAGTGGAAGCCAGGATGGAGGCCAGGGAATTGGCTGGCACTTCCACCCTTTGGCACGCCTCGGCACACGTGGTAGATGACTCGGAGGTAGGATGGCCGCTGGGCACGCTGGACATAATCGGACAGGGAGCTCCTCTCTGGACACTTGGTTGGGAAGGTCAGGCCTTCCCCAGCCTTCAGAGAGCCAGAACCACCTGCAGGCCAGCTTCCCAGGCCCCACCTAGATGCACCTGAGATCATTCCAGGGTGGGGTGCAGGAAAGGCGTAGTTGCTGGAGCTGTGCAGGTGGTTCCAACATGCAGCTGCGGAGGCTCAGGAGCCCTTGGAGGTGTTTGAGCAGGGCTATGGCCGGGGCAGGAGTGTCACTATGGGGACGGTCCTGCCTGGGGAGGGGCTGGATGCAGAGTGGTTCTCACAGATGCCTGGAGAGGAATTGTAGGTCCACCAAGGGTAGTGACGATGCCCTAGGCTAGAGGCTAGAGCGGGTGCAAATGAACCCAGAGTGCTCTAGAACTCAAGGTGTTCGTGACCAGTCACCTGGAGGTGGGAGGTAAAATGCCATGTTTGTGGAGCTGTGAGAAGAGGCATTGACAATATTTTAAATCAAGACAGGACTCCCTCCTCCTCCCAGATTGGGAGTGGTTTGCAGAGGAGAAGTGATAAGCTGGGTTTGGTGTCAAGTCTGAGGTGACTTCAGGCACAGGAAAGGCACGCCCCTTCATTTGAAGGCCATCGTGTTGGCTGCAAATAGTTCCTGATCACATCCTGTTGGACAGAACTTGGCCACGCCTGGTACACAGGAGGCTGCAAAAAATGCCTTTTTTCCTAGGGATGCTTGTGCCTAGCTGTAACTATGCTGCTAGGGAAGATGGGGATACTAGATATTGAGGGTCATAGAGTAACCAACCGTTGGCAAGGGCTGTGTGGGGTCAGTCTCCCCGAGGCCCTCAGGCCATGTGCCGAGTGAGTTTCTCCCAGGAAGAAAGAGGGGAGGGTGGACACTTCGTGGGTACTGAACAACGCAGACCACAGGAGCTATCTGCACAAGGTACAAGCTGGAACCTGAGAAGGAGAGGAGATTGAGCAATGGTAGAATGTCACTGTGGCTGGACCGTGGGGAAGGCTGGAAACCCTGGAGAAAATGCTGTTGTGGAGGACAGGAGCTGTTTTAGGATGAGATTGTCAGACAAGGCCAGAAAAGAGGTTGTGGGTCTAACAAATGGGTCCGTGGAGATCTTTGAGAGAGCAGGTGCACCGTGGAGGTCAGATTGACGTAGGAGGAGAGGCGAATGGGAAGAGAGAGGGAGAGCCTGCCAGCCGCCTCCTCTGTCTGGAGAAGGCCTGGGCAAAGGTGGGAAGGGCAGCTTGGGATCAGGGAAGAACTTTTGGTTTATTTTTTAGCCTGGGGAAGATGTCAGCATATTTTTAGGTCACAGAGGAATGATCCAGGTAGAAGAAACATGAAGATAGGGTAGGGTGATTGATGGACTGAGGATTTAGAGGTCATAAAATCCAGAGGCGAGGTAGACTTCTATACTGGAAAAGAAGAAAGTCCCCAAGGCAAGCGATTAAAAGGGCTCCTGCCCCACTGACCTGGCTAGGGAGGGTGGGGAGACGGGGTGATTAACAAACACGTGAGTGTTGACGATGGGCTGGACCCTGTGCCGAGAGCTTCAAGCTCATGTGTTATCTAATGCTCACACAAACACTCTGGAGGTAGGTGTCATTGTTCTGTTTTGCAGATGAAGAAATTGTGGTTTGTTGGTAAATGATTAGCACCTGGCTCTCTGAAGAAAGTATGCATATTTATATACATGCATAAGTTTATTGTAAATTTTGTAAAGGATATGCAAAACACAATTTACAAATACTACAATATACACTGCTTTTATTATAGATTCCACATAGACTATTGATTCTCAGAGAGTACGCACCTTGATTTTTGCTGGACGCTTGTATCTGTAGCCAACCTATGGTTGCAATTGACAAGAGAATATAGTTCCAATGTGAACATTGGTTGACATTTTGTTTAAGTTAATTTGTAAGAAAAAAGTGAAAGGACCTGTGTTGGAACTTCTCATTTCTCAATGTACAGACACCATACACTTAAATTTAATCTGCATGGTTAACATTTTTCCATCAATTTTTTAAGAAAAAATTGTTTGCACAATGAAACAATAAATCAAGCCCTAATTTGTAGCACATGCTGGCTTCCATGGTGTAAATCCTCCCACTTAGGCTGCTTTCCTGCTACAGATGGGCCGGGGATGAATGGGAAGTTGGGAGGAAATTCACGTGGTCAGCCAGTATTTACACCTCAGAGATACAATAGACTTAAGTAACCTCAAGAACATAAATAGTAAAATCATAAGGAAGTGATGACCTTTAAGTATTTATTTTGCTGTTAATATAATTAATTTAACTGTAATTTAAATTTATTATTCTTTGGGGGGCTGTAGCTGACTGGTATGGGGACCCAAATCCTTGACCTCAGTGTTATAACATCATGCTCTAACCAAGTGAGCTAAATGGTCAGCCTCTATAGTTTGATTTTTAATAATGGCTATATCGAACCGCCAGCTCACAAAATTCCTGAAAATCGAACAACTGGTTTTCGAGCAGGTACAAGCCAGCTCCAGCACACCTCTGGGCTTAGAGATGTTGAATAAACTGCATAGAGAGAGGGGGAAAGGAGAAAATGGGTGGGAGAGAAGCCCAGAGTGGAAGGGTTGTGTTCCTCTGGTTTTTTCCAAATAAAGGAGGAGAGTAGACTGCTGAGAGTGGCAGGAGCCCATGGATCCAGACACTGTCCTTGTGAGACTTCTAAAAAGAAGGTGTTCTCAGCCTGGAAGCACGTACATGACATCGTCAGTGTGAGGGTGGGACTTGGTGGGGTGGGAGGACAGAGGTGACAGCGTGTTAGGCTGAAGTGCAGGTCCTAGGGAGTTGAAGGCACTGTGACAGGTGTCCTTGCAAGGACTGGCCAGGGTCCACGCTGGGATGGAAAGTGAATCAGGGTGAGGCAAGCACACCAGGACATAGGAGCTTGAGTCACTGGTGAAGAGAAAGAGCCGGAGTTACTGGAGGCAAGTTGTGGAGGAGGAATGGGAGGGCTAGAAAAGGGGGCCCTGCGGTGTCACAATTTTAGGCCTGAGGCTGCAACCCTGATGCACGGAACCAGGGGTGAGAATTGCTGGCCAGAGAAGCTGTGAGGCCAGGGCAGAACTTGAGTGCCCGAGGAAGAGCTGGGAGATGTGGAAAACATAATTTCTTCGCTCCTACCCCTAGGGATTCTGATTTGGCAAGAGTGAAAGCATAACACTTGCTGTCAATATTCTCAAAGTTATCCTGTCTTCAGAGATGGGCCCCTCATCAGAGTTTTGAGAGGTCTATGAAGCAAAAGAAATTAAGGCTGGCCAATCTAACACTTGCTGTCAATATTCTCAAAGTTATCCTGTCTTCAGAGATGGGCCCCTCATCAGAGCTTTGAGAGGTCTATGAAGCAAAAGAAATTAAGGCTGGCCAATTAGCTCAGTTGGTTAGAGTGTGGTGCTAGTAACACCAAGGTCCGGGGTTTGATACCTGCAGTGGCCGGCCACTTAATGATGGGGATACGTTCTGAGAAATGCATTATTAGGCGATTTTGTCATTGTGATATAGTGTATTATGAAAGGGAACGGCAGTGGATTTTCCTATAATCCACGCTTGCCACTAGTTGCACCAGTGTGGGCCCTCTAGTTTTGTTAAGTCTCTCTGCCTCACTTTTCTCACCTGTTAAATGGGGATTAGAAAAACACCACCCCCATGAAGTTATGAAAATTAGATGACAGGTAGGGATTATGCCTAGCACTCAGTATACACTCAGGGAGTGTTAGCTAACTGTTATTTTGCTATGGGGATGGGTGAGAATCATTTAAAAAATGCAAGAATTCTAAAGTAGACATGACCTTTTTACTTGGATGTCAAATGCTTGGCTTTCTATCTGAAAGGTCTGAGCTACCTTTGGGAGGATCACCCTGTGGGTGGGCTAGGCAGTCCTCAGCATATTTTGCAGTAGGTTTGTTTACACCAGCATCACCACAAACATATGACAGCTATGATGTCACTAGGTAATAGGAATTTTTCATTTCCATTTTAATGTTATGGGACCACTGTCCTATATGCAGTCTGGCATTGACCAAAACATCGTTATGTGGCACATGACTGTAATGAATATACCTAGTGTGTTGTTTGGAAATTTTACCAAATTGATGAGATGCAGGGGGAAAAATATCAGTTCTGTTTTATTTTTGGTGGCTGGCTGATATGGGAATCTGAACCCTTGACCTTGGTTTTATAACACCATGGTCTGACCAACTGAGATAACTGGCTGTCCCTAGAGTAGAGGATTTTTAGGTGGATATATCGGGTATGGTATTATTGAAGACAAATTGTTAGGTTTAAAAAAAGCCAAATGACACCCAATCTCACAATACCAACAAAAAATATGTAATATTTAGAAGCAAATTTAGGATGAGAAAATTTAAGTGGGCAACCTAAAAGCAATATTGAGTAAATACTGAGGCATCAGAAAAAGCTGTTGATTGTAAAAGTATCCCTTTGCTACAGGTGGTTTAATGCAATCTCAATCAAAATCCCAGCAGGGGGTTAATTTTTATTGTCTTTTTCCTTAGAACTAAACGTTATTACTGAGAAATTAAAGGGATGTAAAAGTGGGTAATAGGAGCAGGGGTATTAATCAGTATCCTGCAAGAAAGTGGAGTAGAAAGACCGACCCACAGGTAGAAGCACTTGGGACACAGCAACAAATCGAGCATCGGTGTCTGTGCTGAGACAGAAAGCAAACTTCTGAAGACCCAGGAGGAGTATTTGCTGGGGCGCAGGGGAGGCGGGGCGACGGTGTCCTTGTCCCAGGGTCTGTTTGCTGGGCTGTTGGCCCACGTATCAGCGTCTCCAAGTTCCTCTTTCCCTCCCTTACTCTCTTGTCTGTTTTTGTTGTTTCTCTGCAGGTCCAAGCCTTGGCATCTGCCAGCAAGTTTGAAGCAGAGTTAAAAGCAGAGCAAGATGAGCGGAAGCGGGAGGAAGAGGAGAGGAGGCTCCGCCAGGCAGCCTTCCAGGAGCTCAAAGCCACTTTCAGTACATAGTCCTGCCGACCTTGACCGCCATCCACCGCTGCGCCTCACAGATGCCCGGGAGGAGATTGCCAGGCACCCTCACCCTGCCGGCCCCTCCCTGAAGCAGCCTCACACCCCCTGCCCAATGCCAACCCCTCAGCCTCACACGGGGGCCGGGGGCTGCTCTCATTCATCCCAGGGTCTGAGCCCCAGCAAGAGGGTCCTGGGGTGGCCAATGCCCTGCTCATCTCCTCACTCTTGGTCAGATTCTGCCACTTGCTTTTGCATCGTCTGTCCTTTAGTGACAATGGGGCTTACGGGAGGCCAGGGTGGACCGCTGTCTGTCCCCTTTCCAACAGGGGGAAGCAGCGCACAGCCGAGATGACGCCGAGTAGAGACAGGAAGTTCTGTTCCTTCCTGTTGCCTTTCTCCTGGCTCCTTAGCATCGCCCCTAGGCCCACCATCTTCATCCTTCCTCCACCCTTGTCTTCCCATTTCAGCCTTTTCTCCACTCTTAATACTATGCTGCTTGACTATAAGGATGCAAGAATAATTAGAATATTAAGGAGTAGAGGAATTCCTGTTAACTCTGACTATGCAAATTATATTACAATGAACACCTGACATTCCCAAGTGACAAATCCAAGGCCTTTCAAAATCCCCAAAGTCATGACCATCCCCATCATCTAGCTAGTTTCCAGCATCTGCTCCAAGGTATTGAGGTGAAGATGTTCTTACCCCAGTACAGATTTTTATACCTTGAGAGTTCTTTGGAGTTGCTTATAAATAACAGGGGTTTGTTGTATTTTTAAAAAAATTTTCCTAATGTCATATTTATTTCTTCTCTTTTGTAACTGCTGTCTTTATAATAAAGAAAACAACTGCCTTTCTACCTTATCACAATTACATTTTAAATAAACTGTGCAAATGAACTTGGCCGTCGCATCAGAGTGCCTCTAGTCGTCTTTGAATTAGGAGAGGACAGTGTTCTTTAGGGGCCGAGTCCATCTCAGGGCTTCTGTTTGGCACTGAGTCACTGAAGTACAATTAGACATGGGAACTAGAGGGTGGGTTTTCACTGTGGCATTCAGGGTACTGAGGCTATCAGCTGCTTGCCCCTTCCCGTCATTGAAGATACTTTCAGCTGTAAGTAAAAACTGTAGCTTAATTTCTTTTTTTCTTTTCTTGTTTTTTAGTGGATGGCTAGTACAGGGATTGAACCCTGGACCTTGACATGATCAGCACCATGCTCTAACCAACTGAGCTAACTGGCTGGCCTTAATTTCTTTTGCTTCCTAGATCCCTTGAAACTCTAATGAGGGTCAATGTCCCTCTCTCCCATATATAATCCAGGGTATTTTGGAGACCTGTTTAAGGACCCCTGACCTAAGAGAATACCCTCTGCTCCCCAGTGAGGATCATTCTATTTCTGCACAAACTCAAAATCTGTGAATCTCAGGCACTGCTTTTCTAGCTACAGTCACCCCTAGAGGAGAGGGACATGAAAAAGGAATGGAGAGATTCTTACCATACAATCCAGCAGTCATGCTCCCTCATATTTATCCAAATGAGGTGAGAACTTATTTATACCCACATAGAAATGTGCACATGAATATTTATAGCAGCTTTATTCATAATTGCAAGAACTTGGAAGCAACCAAGATGTTCTTCAGTAGATGAGTGAGTAAACACTGTGGTGCATCCCTACAATGGAATATTATTCGGTGGCGAGAAGAAATACTCAGCCACAGAACGAAATGAGCTAGCAAGTCCCCAAAAGACATGGAGGAAACTTAAATGCATGTTGCTAAATGACAGAAGCCAATCTGGAAAGGCCCATACTATTTGATTTCAAACCATATGGCACTCTGGGAAAGGTAAAATTAGGAAGACAGTGAAAAGATCAGTGGTTGTTGGAAGGGAGGGAAGGACGAATAGGTGGAACACAGGAGGTTTTCAGGGCGGTGAAACGTATTCTGTATGATACTATAATGGTAGAAACTCATTATACATTTGCCAAAACCCATAGAATGTATAACACAAAGAGTGGACCGTGATGTAAACAATGGACTTCAGTTAATAATGTATCGATGTGGACGTGTCAATTGTAACAAATGTACCACATTAATGCAAGATAATAATAGGGGAAACGGTGGTGGGTCGAGAGGGGCATATGGGAACGTTACTTTTGGCTCAATTTTTCTGTAAACCTAAAACTTGTCTAAGAAAGAAAGTATTGATTTAGGGCTGGCTGGTTAGCTCACTTGGTTAGAGTGTGGTCTTGTTGACACCAAGGTCAAGGGTTTGGATCCTCATACCTGCCAGCTGCCGCCACCCCCTCAATCTAAAAACAAAGTCTATTAATTTAAAAAGGAAGAAAGAGAAAAAAGAAAGGAGACAACTGTGTAATTACTTGAAACATCCATTTGCCTCTGTGAACAAGTAGGCTCGTGTAAGAGCCAAAGCTCTAGATTGCAAGTGACAGAAAATGCAACATGGAGGGATTTAAGATGAAAAGGACACACATTGGGCCACATGACTACAGGAAGAGACAGAGTTGCAGAAGTTGCTCCTTTTATGTCTCTCACCTCCAGTTTCCACCCTCCATCTCCAGGGCCATGGCTGCCCTTCAGACCTTCTTTGGTACTTTCCTGGGTCTCTACAGTGGGCTCCTAACTGGTTTCTCTGCCCTCATTTTGCCCTGGTTGTCCACCTGGCAGCTAGAATAATCTTTCAACATGTAAAACTGTTCATAACATCTCCCCTTCAATTTTTGATTCTTCACATTTGGGATCTGGCCCCTGCTCACCCCTGATGCCCCATCTCTTGCCCTCCCTTCCCTCTCTCCTTCCAAACTGTAGACTTCAGTTATACACAATGCTGAACAGTTCCTAGAAAGTGCCACACCTCCCGGCTTTTGCACACGCTGTTTCCTCTGCCTGGCACTACCTCCCTCCCCTCCACTGGCAAGCTACTACTTCTAATGTTGATGACTCAGCTCAGAGATGATCTTCAGGAAGCTTTCTTGATGCTCCCAGGCTAGGAGAGGTGCTCCTTCTCAGGATTCCCATGTCCCCCTGAGTTTTTCTCTATTGTAATCCTTATGGCATGATGCAGTAGCCCTCTCCTTACTTCTCTGCCTCTGCATTTGGACTATGAACTCTTTGAAGGGCAGGAACCCTGCCTTGCCCACTGTTATAGGCCTAGCATGCTGCCTGGTATGTAACAGGCAGCCCTTGCATGTTGGTTTCACGGAAAGTGCCAGGTTTGTTACAGCAGACAGAGATGGGCAAGGCAGGATCACTATGACTGATGTCAGGGACCTTAAGCACCTTAACACAGAAGCCTAGCTGCAGGGACAGCTCTGAAAGTAAGGACAGTAGAGAATGTGAGAATATCTTTCACACTGGAAGAGTGATGAGTCCACTCTCCAGAGGCCCTCCTTTGAGCAATAGGGAAAACCAACCAACCACCCAGTCTTGCCTCTGCCCTGGATGCTTTGTGATATAATGGGATTTGCACTCAGACACTACACAAGTGAGTTAACCTAACTAAGCCTCAGTTTCCTCACCTGTAAAATGGGATGATGATGATTACCTACCTGGCAGATTCTATGCCTGGTGTATATTTAGTAATTGGGACACATGGGTCCCCTCTCTACTCTCTACCCTCCACTTCTGCAACTCTGCTTCTTCCTGAGCTCTGGGTCTCTAAAGTTAGGTCCAAGGGATCCCAGGCCAGGGTGACCAGATGTGTTCAGTCCTGGCTGCTATTTTGGCCCCAAGGGCAGGTATCCACTCACCTAGCTTCTGTGTTCTTCTGAGGCCTGTTTCCCAACCAGCCCAGGGAGACTTCCATTTACCTGCCTGCTCACCAGCCATGCCCCCTGCAGCTGGCAGCTGCAGGGATCTCCGGGTCTGATCATGTGACCTGACACCTGCAGCCTTGCCAATGCTCAAATTTCTCCTTGCTGACTCTGCTTGCTCTCCAGACCAGCTTCTGGCATATTCTGTCCACCTGGCCTGACTGTATAAGAATGATGGTTCCATAGCCCTTCTCTGGGTCCTGTGGTGGTGGTGGGTTCGTGGAGGGACAATTTAGGATTCTACAACTTAGGGAGGCACTGAGGATGGGACCTTATCGGTGGTCACTTTCCTTGTTTCTCTCCACTTCTTTCTGAAACCGGTCACTTTTGGCATTCTGCCATATGGTACTGGCGGGAGTATATATTGCTGTTGCCTTTTTGAAGGGCAATTTGGTAGAATGTTAAAAAATTAAAAATCGTGTCTGTATTAGTTACTTATTTTTGTGTTAAAATAAAAGATAAAAAAATATAGAAATCACCCCATGACTTAGTGGCTTAAAACAATAATTAACATTTATTATCTCACACAATTTCTGAGGGTCACAATTTCTAAATTCAGAAATAGTATAGCTGGATGCTCTGGCTCAGTCTCTCTCATGAGGCTGCAGTCAAAATGCCAGCTGGGGCTGCAGTCACATGAGGCTGGACCGGGGCTGGAGAATCTCTTTCCAAGATGACTCACTCATGTGATTGGCATGTTGGTGCTGGCTGCTGACAGGAGGCCCCAGTTGCCTGCCATGTGAACCTCTCCATGGGTCTGCTTGAACATCCTCACAACATGGCAGCCAGCTTCCCCCAGAGCAAGTGATACAAGAGAGAGTAAAGTATGCAATGTCCTTTAAGACCTAGCTTCAGAAATCACACTCTGCCATTTCCTCAATGTCCTACTGGTTACACAGTGCTATGGGTTGAATGTTCCCCAAAAGTTCATGTGTTGGAAACAGCCTCCATTGTAACAGTTTTTTTTTTCCTTTTTGTCTTTTTTACTGACCGGTAACGGGATTGCAACCCTCGGTGTCGCGCCCGCACTGCGCTCAGCCAGTGAGCGGGAACCGGTCTCCACATGGGATGCAAACCCTCGGCGGGAGCGCCGCCGCGCTCCCAAGCGGCTCACTCTCCAGTGCGCCACTGGGCCAGCCCGTAACAGTTTTAATAGGGTGGGAAATCCAATTATGGTAATTGAAAGGTGGGGTCTTTAAGAGGTGATTGGATCATGAGGACCATGTTCTCATGAATGGATTAATCCACTGATGGTTTAATGGGTGATTATGGGCATGGCTATGATGCCTTTATAAGGAGAGCGAGGGAGAACGTAACTCTCTTGCTCAGCCCATTCTCGCCATGTGATGCCTTACATTGCCGTAAAGAATCGCCACCAAGAAAAAGGCCCTCACCAGATGTGTTCCCTGGACTTTGGACTTCCAGCCTCCCAACTGTAAGAAATAAACTTTATTTCTTTATAAATTATCCAGTTTCAGGTATTCTGTTATAAGCAACAGAAATAGACTAATACACACAGGTCAGCCCCATTGGCAAGGATCACTGGGGTCACCTTGGAGGCTGGCTACCACGGAATCAGTGAGGGTCCTTAATTTCAAGTAACAGAACCTCAGCTGGGCTAATTTAAGCAGAAAAGGAATTGATTGAAAAAATATTGAGGAGCTCCCAGAATCACTAGCAAGCATGAGGGCCAAACTAAGGAAACAGGCAGGAGGTTAGGTGTCTGGGACAGCAGCCAAAAGCACACCAGGGGAGCCAGCCAGGGAGGGTGCTGCTGCTCTGGCTGACCAAGACTCTGCGGTCTTCTGCTTCTTTTTATTTTAATTTTTAAAAAAATGAAAATTGTATCTGTCATTTACTCCAGATTCACAGTCTGAGGCTGAGCCCAGTCATATGCCCATGTGGGGCAGAATTTGACAGTACCTGCCTCTAACCAAGATTCTCATTTTCCCCAGAAATGGGAAAGTATTTCAGATGTAGAACAGTCATGAAGAATGGCAGGTGTCCACTACAGAGATACTCACGAGCTTTGGCCCAGGAATTTATCCTATAGGTAAATATAAGAGTGAACAAGGAT